ATTTTTTTATTTTTATTTTAAGCATGTATTTCTTTTAACCTCTTCCCCATATATTCGTCCTAAATTAAATACTTAATAAAGTGGTGTGTAAGCAAGCAAGCAATATTGCTTTTTCGCTTTTTGCCATATCTTGTATGATACTTTCATTGTTTTAGAAAACAGATGTGAGTGCCACGAAGAAATAACAATACGGAAAAAAAGAAGAGCCAAAATTAAGGAAGCGAAGACCAAATGTATCAGATCGCGAGATAAGCATTTAATAATCTATAATGTTTTATTAATAATTGTTACTGACGGAAATAAATATTTATTTGCGCAGTGTCGTTTTCAGATCACTTTATAATATATACACATGTTAAAAAAATATACATATAATATATATACCAATATATATATATATATATATATATATATATATATATATATATGTATATACTTACCAATTAAATAAGTTGCGATGCCACTCGTTTCGGAGCCGATCCGTCTCGTATTCGTCGCGTTCTGAAAATAAAAAGAGAACGTAATTAATATGACGAAGGCGCTTCATCGTCTCCTGTTCGGCAATTTCTTGTACCGAAAGCGTCGCGGCGCGCGGCGTCGCGGCGCGTCCTCGATATTCGCGACATTCGAAAATATGATCGCTTTCGCGATTACCCTCGCAACGCGTCTTCTGCCGAACAAGTGTGTGTGTGTATCGCGGAGAGAATACGTATTTTCAAGAATCATTATAATACCCGAGCGTCGCGTCGAATCTATACTACGCGATAGATACCACAGTGAATAATACATGCAAGATCAATATGTGTCAAACTTACCAATTAAATGATTCGCGACGCCACTCGGTCCGGAGCCGATCCGTTTCGTGTCCGCCACTCTCTGGAAATGAAAGGGAAGGGAGTACGTCATCAATATGGCGGAGGCGCTTCGTTTCCGCGCGGCAACTTCACGCGTCAAAAGCGCTGCGGCGTCGCTACGCGTTCCGTAGCCAACTTAAGTTCGCGATCATGATTTTTCTCCGAACTTTGAAAAATCAAATATTTACTAACTCGCTTATTACTACAATTGTTCTTTCGCATTCTAGCGAATAGCGTATTAATATTATTGGCAAATATCCGCGATATTCGCGGCACGACACTCGAAAATACGATCGTCACTTTGCTCGTGCGACGCGCCTTCGGCCGGACAAGTATCGCGGAATACGTATTTTTAAGAAATATCAATACCCGAGCGCTAAATCTATGTTACGCGATAGATACCGCAGTGAATATAATGCATGCAAGATTAATATGTGTTATACTTACCAATTGAATGAGTCGCGACGTCGCTCGTTCCGGAGCCGATCCGTTCCGTGTCAGCCGCTTTCTGGAAATGGACATGGAAGGAGAAGGTTATACGTCATCAATATGGCGGAGGCGCTTCCCGCGTTTCCCGCGCGCCGCGCGGCAACTTCAAAAGCGCCGCGGCGTCACTACACGTCTCGTTTTTACTTTCGCGTTTATGTATTTGTCTCATTTTAACAATAAATGCCATACGCTTGCCTCACACAGCAGTCAGTTTTTCCTTTATGATCCTGATATGAATTAAATATATAGATATTATATATAGATACTTATTTATTATTTTATATATTTATATTATATGTCAAATATCTAATATGCAATTTCGACAATGGAAGGCCGGAATTGGCCGCTGCGTCGCCATGATGTGCTTCTCCTGACGTCCCGATGTGACAGTCGTGATTTGATATTATGTTTCGTCGCGATGCTTTCACCTTCCGATAACGTTCGTCGACGGCGGTTATGAGAGTCGCGGAGCGTGCGAGCGAGCGAGGGGATCCGCGATGCGGGATCGTGCGATCGGTCGGATCAGTGTCGCGTGATGAGCGCGATAGCCTATTGCCTACGGCAGCGTTGTTAGTGTATATACTTGTACATAGATCTCTCATTTCCTCGTAATGCGTACCTGATTAATTAGCACGCTTTAATTGCGCCACGTTGAAACGCATTGACACGCACGATGTCCGCTCTGCGAAAGAAGGCGGGCCGGAGGAGTGAGACGAGGACTGACAATCTTGTAGGAGGTTAAGTGCTCTTGTATACACCACTTATACGTATCGCGTTGTAAATTTACTTGTCCCTGCACCCTGCACCGCGTACGAAATTTTATCTCAAAATGCAGAAGGCTAAATGTTCTTTGGTATGGCTCTGAAAAATGAAATAAACACGAATATAACGTTTATTTAATCTTGAATGTGAAAATTTAGAACAGCGAGAAGCTGAACAAATGTTTTGTCGTATAAAAGACTATATATATAAATTTTTTTTAAATTTACTTTTCACATTTGTGTTTCCCTATAAATAATTGTTGTTTTGATATTTTACAGCAGATGTGACCATTGACGACTTTGCTAATACATTACGGATACATGCAAGGTCCAAGAAATCAGTTACAAATGTCTCTAATGAAGGTTAGAAGATAACTTATTTACCTCACACTTTTTACTGAACTATTTTGTTGGATAAGTATTATAGCTTGTTGTTTCAATTCTATTATTGAAATTTTATTTAGTGAAACAAGAAGCGACGAAAGAAGAAGAGAAACCAGTATGGGATGAAACAGATGAAGAGACCTTATTAAGAGATAACACAAGAGGAAGAAGGAATAGAAGGAAATCGAAATGTCAAAAGGATAATGATGAAGATGAAGGTAAATGAAATGCGTTTTAATTAAACACGAACATTTTTTCTAACGATTGCATCATAAATGTACAAAGTATCATATATGATAAAATGTAACAAAAATACTTCGTTTGTTTAATAGGAATCGACTATCCATTGGACATATGGTTTATTATCTCGGAATATATACAGCCTGAAGCAGTTGGAAAGTTTGCAAGTATTTGCAGAAGTTCTTACTATGTAACCACCACTGGAAAATTTTGGTTCCATTTATACAGATCGTAAGTACTTTACTGTACAGTCTGATAATGTTATATGAACTAAAATGTGTGAATTTCTTTTTAAAGATTATTTTCAAATTATTGTCTTTTTATTCTGTTTGTCTTTAATACTACTTTTTAAGTAGATTAATAGTTCTAAAATGTAACATTTTATATTTATTTCTTAATATGGTAAATATGATATATAATTGTACATTGCAGCTATATGACTGTACAATAATTTAAAATCAGATTGTAATTCTAGATATTACAAATTCGTACCAAACTTGCCGGAGCGCTTGCAGCCACAATGTATGAGATTACATGGATTAAGAGCTTGTGTTATCAGGGCATTGCATTACAGTTATTTTAGAACGCCGGAAGGGGAAGGAGACGATATGTCTTACTTACGACAGGACGAGCCGCATTCTCTTGTGAAAAGAAAATGCACTCTCATGTGGAGTAAAGTAAATTGCGAATAACTCTTTATCCGCATTTAAACTCTTAAGCTCAAGTAAACGTATAGCTGTTCTTTTGTATATAAATCTTAAATTATGTAATTATGTAAAATGGTGTCTAGCAATTGTGTAATTATATTGGACGACTTGTCATCCTTTACTTCACGCCGCATGATAATACTTAATGTTGTGTGTTTTAGGAGGTGAAAGTATGGTATTTCTATTTTAAGTTGAAGGAAGTTTCCAAAACACGCAACAGCTCTATAAACCAATGTAAGCAACGTGATGGTAGAAAAACCGAATTTCTCGATACATTGGAAGATGTAGCTGTTAATCCTGAGGAAGGTTGCAAAGTGCTTAGGGTGTGTAACATAAAAGACTCGTTCGTAGATTTTTGATGAAATTAATTTTTGTTTGTAGTAATATATTTTAATGCGTTTAATGACTTATGTGTAGGTGACTTGTTTAAAGTATAGTATGTTACCACCTGTGATCGGATTAGTCCTGCAAACAGTATCTGAGAATCTAATGCCCGGCTTCAGAGAACGCAGACTTCAACTTGGATTCGGAACGTCGGATGCTCCCGGTACATTTACAAATCAAGTAGTACTCCGTAACGTTATCAATTACCGTATCTTGAATTGGTGGGATCCTGCCTATCCTCATCAGGACGTGAGCTACACGATCGAATTGCCCCAAAGTGACTCGTGGGACTAGAATTTATTACAGATTGCTCTTATATTTTGTGTATTACATTGGGAAAATAGACAAGCCTTTAAATTTTGTAAAGACAAATATATCAACGCGCAACAAATGCAAAGTTGTTTGAATTAATACCTTTCTCTTTTTCATCAGATATTCATGAACGATTCATGATTTATGAATAATTTCTTAATTAAATCATAATAACATAATTTGAGAAAATATAAAAAATGCAAATAATAAAACAGAGACAATGCAAATTTTGTGCAAAGACGCTTTATGTACATTTTTGTATAGGAGGAATATGTACAACAAAATGAAATTCTTACACATACGATTATAAATCATAAACATTCAACTTGATTGTGACAGCTCGAATACGAAATGTTATTCTATTTTCGAAGCTTTTTATTGTTACAGTGACGGACGATTTACAATGATGTAATTGATAAGACGGCGTCTTTGGGTTACTCCTGAATTGGCACATTTTGCGACACAATTAAAGATTATTGTTAAATTTCATTTTTTAACAGCCGCTTCTACAGCATCTACCAATTCCTGCAGGTGATGTATGTTGGTAGTTGAGATATTAAGATCTTTGACCTATAAATAAATGAATAAATTAGACATGAAAATTTATTTTAAATGTGCATATTTCCTTACCATATTTGTGTAACCGTCCACGTCCACTTTAAGCTGAATACGTATCTTTTCGTCGTCGCTAATTCCCTGTGGTTCTGAAGGAAGAATTCCAGTGGATTTATCACGAATCTTTTTCAACCTCCTTAAACTCTCCTCCGTCTTTTGCACAGACGTTAACACATCCGTGACGAATAATAAATAGCTAAAACAAAATTAACTATTTCTACTGTATGCATAATAAATTTTACATTGTTTTGATACATTTTCAGATTTTTTTAATGACAATATTGTTGGAGAAATAAATTTATCGTTTACCTTTCTGTTAACGAAGATAAAGTTAACTCTAACCAAAGAAGAATATTTTCGGGAATGATCTTGTTGTAATCTGTATAAAAATTAGTAAGAGGGACCATCGCACTCTTTACGTAAGGACAAGGTTTAGTTGGCACGTCTCGCTTTGTTCTCCTAAATAATCGAGGAATGTCGCTGACTTGTTTCAAGTGCGTTACACATTGCTCTGAAAGCTCATTTACAATTTCTTTCGTAACTAAAGGTAAAAGATTAGCTAGACTCTTCGACGTTTCACCTAAAGAATCTAAAATACGAATCAAGGTGAGATAAATTTAATATTATATAATGTATTATTTTTAGAAAATTCGTGCTTACATATTACCTTCTAATAATTTTGATACTGTAACATTCTCGTCTTTAATTTTTGATTGCACCATTTGTAGGAAAGATGGAAGGGCATTTATCAATTTTTCTATGTCACTATACAAATATACTAGAAAGTTTAATCTCGTGGAACGTTCTGAGTCACTTGAATTATTAGTTTCATTTATCACTGGCCATACCTATAAGCACAAAATTGGTCACTCTCTGTACATGAAAATATCAAGAACTAAAGTTGTATATCAATGTCGCATTGTAATAAGCTAAATGTGAAAACATACTTGTTTCATTGCACTCTGACACCAAGTTTGATACCTCGAGCTTATTTGAAGACTGAGTTTCCAGAATCTGATAACAATAACAATGCGTTAGTTTAATAAAAACGTTAGAATTGCAATAGAAATTATTATCACAGGCAGAATTGCAGAACAGTTGCTCACCTGTGGAACAGTTGATACAAATAGATGTCGTCAGCCCAAATCCTTAGCAGATTATCCCAAACCACATCGGTTGCATAAAGGGAGAAATCTTTTTGCGTCAGCGAAATCAGACTACCTTTGACCGAGTCCGGCGATACTGGCTCAGCTAACATTGCCTCCACGCTGCCGGCTATCTCTTGAAATCGTATTTGAAAGTACACCGGCAGATTCCATTTCTTGAGAAAACTCTTGTATTGTGGATGATTCTTCAATGCCGCCAAAATTTCAGGCGTAACACACTCCATCTCCAATTTCGTTAAAAACTCTAACGTGGCTGTATACCTCTAAAATTTAACGTTAACTTGAGAGATATACATTTCTATACCTTAACACAAATTTCAAATATTTTTCATACTTTGTGAAATAGTACTGGATCTCCCGGGGCAAAAATGGACTTTATATATTGCTCGATCTTTTCCTCGATCTCAACCCAAAAACTGTTCACCAGAAAATTAAATCCTTTCACGGACATTCTACAACGCCGATATAATGATCAGTGTATTTATAAATAAATAATTATATATGCTCGATCAAATGTAACTCATAATGTACCTCTCAGGATGTAACGTGATATCTAATAACTGTTTTAATTCCACATCTAGAATGTTCAGTAATCTGTGATAAATGCTTTGCAGACCAAGCGGATCAGATTGAAGGTTCTCCTCGTTAATCACATTGTATATTAATGGCCTTACAAGCTCGTGTCTGACCAGTTCTTCGGCGTTGGTTATTTTGTCGAGCGTGAGATAAATTCTGAGGCAACGGATCGCCAAGTTTGAATTCTTCTCGTGTATACACGCTAGGAACAACTCGTTCAGGCACGTTAGATATAAGCTTTCTAATTCGATGGTTTCCTATTATAAAATAATCGTTTTGATTTATTTGACTATTGATGCATCATCATTTTGTTTCTAAAAATACGTACCTTCTCTTGATCGGCCGAGATATCTGATTTACACCTAGACATATGGAATTTCAATTGGTTCAATTCAATCGCAGCCTGTTCCAGAACGTCGATCTTCGTGGGGTTTTCCATAAACGTTTTCATGCATAATATGGAGGTGAGTTTTCTCAGCGACTTGTACACGTGTTGCAAGCTGTGCAAACTTTGCTTACGTTCCCTTATCTTTAAATTGTCATTCAAATTAGCCGAAATGGCTGTAATCTCATCGTCTAGAGCTTGTCGCACTTGCTGCCAAAACAAAATTCTGTCATTCGATCCAAATAAATATTACAGATATGTAAAATAAGATTTCCTGTGTCCGATCTCTGATCTGATTGTAAAATATAACTCGTTGAATCTTTAAACAATCTCAGATATCGATTTCAAGTGTGTACTTTTCTATTTTTTACCATAACTTCCTCCTTCAACTGTCCAAGCGGCGCTTGCAGGTCATTGATGGCCTTGTCCAGTCCGATCAAGTTGCTAGACAGGTTCACGAAATCCGTGTAATCCCGGTTAATCAGGTCGATCATAGCCGATCTCAGTAACTTCAAGTACATGCCAAGATCATCCCGCATCGTCTCCAGTTTGCCATTCTTCCTGTGATCTTGCAGGAAAGTGTCGACATCGAAATTCTCCTACGACGGCGAGCGCAGGGACGGGGGAAAGAAAATTAAATTTACATCTCGTAAACACCGTAAACATTGCGTAAATGAAAAGAAAAAAAGAACTTGTCGAACCTGTACGAAATCGAGCTCGGAGAAGCACAGGTCCTTCGGGGCTTTCGGTAAGGTTATATTGCCGTTAGACATAATTGAATATTTACACCGTTTCTCTCGCTCGAGGATCTAATTGACGATCGTCATCGCAATCCCAATTGCACCCGATATTAAAAATCTCGCCGCCGCTAACCCTCGTATCGTGACATTTGTGACGTGACAGTTTGACGTCCTCCCGCATCCACAGCTGCATAAAGCTCACATCGCACCGAGCGTTAAAAATCAATATTGCATCTCGATCGCGCGACAGCCAATCACGTTCCGACACCTCCGAGGAAGCGGAGAGGCGATTGGCTGTCGCGCGGAGTCACGCTTGTTCTTCGACGTCGCTACGTGTGATGGTCTCTCATTCATAATTCATACGTCCCTCCGTCTACTACGAGGAACATCCTGTATTTTCGGATAAACAAATATATTCTAACCTATTTGTGTGGTTCCCAGAGCGCGTTTATTGATCGAAGACATTAAATTGTGTGTAGCATTGTTGCCGAAAATTTGTAGCGGTGAGAGATGAGCGTGAACGAGGATTGGGACGTGGAGCAGCACAAGGTGGAATACGAGTCCGACGAGCACTGGGAGCTGCGACGTAAATTTCTGCTCGCCCACAAGGACAAGTTCTCGGAGGACGTGCTCGTTTGTTTAGCCCAAGTGTTCGTCAATGTCGAACTGTTAGGATGCAGGTAGCGATATCTGATTACGCATGTTTTGCTCTCGCCTTATTGCATCAGTGATCACAAACACGACGATGCGGGCGTTACATTTCCCAGTTTGTAAGTTTGTACAAATTCGTTGCAGATATCCGCAAGAAACGATGGACCTAGTGAAGGAATTGTCGCAGGACGTCGCGGCCGAATATAGAGAAAAGCAAAAGAAAAAGTTGCAAAGAACGTTTGTGGAAGCGTCACAGGCAGCTAGTTCTAAGGTGAAAGGTATAAAGAAAAATTGTGAGTTGACTTGTATTTTTTTTTGTTTTTTTTTTTTCGTATTTGTATTGTACACGGTGTCCGTTATGACTCGTGATCTATGTGACGATTATATTGAGATATTTTTGTATCAGGATGCGCCGCTAAAACATCTACTGTCACAGAAAGATCTGTACCGAACACGCCTAATCATATACCAAACACAGCCAATCATATGGATCAATCTTATAAAAATAAAAAACGTTCCAAGAAAAATAAAAAGCTCGACGTTATGAAGACATTGCCTCCTAATGCCATAAAAGAATCTGTATCCAACGAAATCAGTCATGACTATCAGCCATGCAAAAATCCTGATATCGAGGAAAGACTGTCCAAAAGATTAAAGACAGAGGAAGACGTATCATTGAAAGATCAAGATTTATGTAGAGATTTATGTAGAGATATCGTTCTGTTAGAAAGACCGGGTGATAATGTGCATACTATATTAGACGTTTCAGCCGCTGTATCTGGTGTGGCCTTAAAGTACAACTACTCTAAGAAAGGAGAAAAAGGCTGGTGAGCATATCTTTGTACTATATTTTAAAGACACGTGCTCTATGTGTGTGTACGTGTACATGTTATATAAATTTAACATTAAAAAATTATCAAGGGATATTCCTAATTATGTCTCTTTTCAGGGAATGCTCTCTTAATATTGCTAAATCACAGCAGTTGGGTTGCAGCATCAACTCTAATAAGAAAGTAGCCAAAAAAGAAGCAGCCACCATTGCATTAGAAAAATTACAAAAGCACTGCTATACGGTTAAGGTAAAGAAAAAATAAACATGTATCTTTATCTGAATAGAGCCGTCTTAAAAAGATCTCTTAGTACATCATTGGTACCTATTTTATGTTATTCTATAATAAATTATAGCGAAATAAAGATGTTTTTCATCCCCTTGTATACAGTTTTCGTTCTCTTTCCTTTTAAGTATTTTTATATATTTTAAAATTCAGGTTAAGCAAGATTCGGATTCAAAGTCGCGTGTAACTGTAACAGCAGAGGAAATAAAACCACAGGATTCTACCCCCGACGACGATTGGAAAGTATCTAATTGCGTTGGAAAGAAGCTGATGAAAATAATGGGCTGGTCCGGCGGTGGTCTTGGAAAATCGGAGCAGGGTATTATGGAACCTATGTCTGCGACGTTAGTAACCGACAACGTCCCTTAGTCTCTAGAAAATTCTCATTTTTCCCCTTTATTCTCTTCCATTTTTATTCTATTTTTAGGGTCAAGTCACAAATAAATCGAGAGGGTCTTGGCTTGAAAACAAATTCTTACAAGGCAGACGAAGTGAAAGCCAAATGTCGAAAACTGTTTAAAGATCTTTTACAAAAAGATGATTGTATGAATAGCGATATTATGTTTCTGGATTTTCCCAAGGAAGACAGAATGCTGATTCATCAGTATGTACCGTTTTATAAGTTACATGATGTTTGCAAGAAATGCCGCTTAAGTCTGGTAATAATGCCCCGATCTGTTTCAGGGTTGCACGAACAATGGGTCTCAAGTCGTGCAGCTACGATAAAGATAAACGAAAACTGAAAGTCTCACGTAAACTCGATATATGGAATTTGGTCAGGGAACTGAATAGTCTTGGCGGAGTCACCGAGAAATACGAACTGGTAAAACCGACCGACGAAAAGGTCGTTTCGTTGCCAACTTCTATGGACATATGAATAAACGATAAATAACGATAAATAAACGATATGTGGTCGAACGATACCTTCTGTGACATTGATGTAGCACATAGATGTATGGAAAATAAATAGATAATCTCTTTTTCAGAAGTCTTTCCGTAATATTTTATTGTTTAAACGATCCAAAAAAACAAGCTATTTGAAGTGATATCGTCGACGTCCCAATCGATACTCTTCTAGCACGCAAATTCGAAGTAGCGAGATTCGTTCGATTCACACAGTATTTCCGCCGAATGGAAAAGCCATACGTTATATAGAATCGGAATACCGCGCCACGTCGCCAGTAAAATTGAATCGCCAAACGAATGCAAGGGGTGAGATACGGTAAAAAGCAATCTTCTGAAATTTGCGATTCTATACAGGCGTGACCTGCGAATTCAGATAAATGCAAATGTATACACTCGCACACACGGTGAAATCGGTGTGGCACGGTGCGATAATTGGAGGCACTAGCAATTAAAACTTAAGAGAAGAAACGTTCGCTTTATTTAACAATTATATAACTGTTCGCACGACAAAATTATTATCCCAAGAGCGCTTGGCGTTCAATCAAATAGAGAAGAAGTACAAAACCTTAAGAAGCGGATGGTTACTTTATACAGTGTACAGAGTATGTCGCAGATTGCCGTGGTAAACATGACGTATAATAAGAAACGCTTTGGCAGTAGAACAATCAGAAGTCGAAAGGTAACATATACAGATAATACGACATGGTGCGTGACATTTTAGTACATTATCACATCGTTGAAATCTCTGAATAATTAAAATGGTCAATAGGTTCTCTGTTTTTTTTTCTTTTTATACATATAGGTCGCGTATATATGCATATATATATATGCGTGCCATCGGTTTGAAATGACAAGGTTGAAGATTACATGCGTCTCCTATATAATCACTTCGATTTATTGATTAACTTAACGTCTACTTAGCTACGTACGCATATTACAACGGCGGTGGAACGCAGCAATGTAAATGGGCAACGAGAGCAACGAAACAACGCGTGCGACGTGTATGTGAACGTATATAAAAGAAAAAGCATCTTCTCGTTAGTTAATTAATTGACCGTGCTGTCTCGCGCGCATAATAGCCGGAGTGAAATATTTTCACAAGAGCCGTCGCAACCGTCAGCCACCGCGCGTGGTTGAATTTACGGGAAAGAATGCTTCGTAAACTCTGTGCTTGACGTTATTTGTATTTTTCCTCGGAACCTTTCAATACATTTCGCGGCGGTACAAAGGGTCTGTCGGAAATTGGATTCGAATGTAACGCGGAACGAATTTAGCGAGCTGCTAAATTTGTTGGTGCGGGTAAAAAGACGCGCGTGCGGGAACATTGCCGCTTTATCATTTAACGTAGACTGTTTTTATCGCAATCCCGTTTCACCACGTTACGCAATTTCGAAAGCGATTAATTCCCGTATGCAGGAAATACAACGTGTCGTAGCCTTCCTTTTTGCGATACGTCACTTTCAGCCCGTCCATTTACATTCAGCGCCTCGTTATCATTGGGATAATAATGCCAAAGGGCACGGTAGAAACCCCGATCAACCGCATTATTCATTACCGAAACGCTGTGGACGGATCGACAATTTTCCCGAAACCAACTGTGTCGCTGTGTCTGAAATTTTAAATCAGGATCAGTCAATCAAGATCGACAGGTCTACAGAAAGTCCAATAGGAATAAAAATAAATGCATTTTTGAACTTAATTTAACGTTTACAATAAGACAGTCTGTGAGAGAATACCAAATTGACAAACCAGCTTCGTCCATTTTTCGAAATATCTGCAACACGTGTAAATTATAATAATAAAACTCGGGGGGGGGGGAGAGGAGTGGAAGGGAGGAAGAGAGGAAAATATAATCTCTCATCATTCCAAGACGATGGGTAACGCGCCTCCGAAACGTGGCATATATATGTATATCAGATATTGGTGGAACTCCGGTCTGCCGCTCTCGGGGGAGATAGATTTGACCTTTATGACTTACGACTCGAAATATTGGGGCCAAAGGGTCAAGGCACGCGGCGGAGATGCGGAGATGGGGGCGGGGGAGAGAGAAAGAGAGAAAGGGGTGTCGCGGCGCGCCATGACCCCTCGGTCTGATGCCCCGTTCGGTTGTTCGCTAAAACACACAAGTTCCCTCGGATTTTGCCCTCGGTCCAGGCCCTACTTTGGACCGTAATTGACATCTGGAGGGAATATTAAACTTTTTTTTTTCATTTTTATATACCAAAATATTATCTACCATCTGATAAAAGAGTGATTTCTCTGTTGATATGTATCCGCTATGTATATATATATGTATAATATTTATATACTTCTAAACTCGCTTAAGTTACATTAATTAGAAGATATGTCTCAATGTATCGTTTGTATCGATTAAAAGATACGCTTAGTAAGTATGATATGTTACGTCGTTACTCATCCCGCGAGGGGGGATGTATTCTCTCGAGGTAAAAAAAAAGAGGGGATCTCGTCAGACTCGCGCCCGTCCGCGATTTCTCGATTGTCGCGAATTGCACAATTTATACATATTATATATATGTGCATGTGTATATATGTGTGTATATATAGAAATTAATAACGCGTTAATTTTTCTCTCTTCGAAGTACTTAAAAGGAAAGCGCGACGGGAAACGCTACCTCGAGAGAATCCGATGAACCCCGTTACTTTCTTCATCATATATATATATATATCTTTCTATATATACATATATATGTATATAATATATCTATATAATTTTTTAAATATAATTTACTGATATGTATGTGTACTGATATGTATCGTGTTGCCGTAATGAAAATATCATACGCTAGCATTATATATATATATCTTGCTCTCTTTCTCCTAATAAGTAAAATGCGCGTCATACCCTGAAAGAACGCGACGCGATGCTCCATTTCTTCCTCTTCCTTTTCTCCCTATTACTCTTTTGTACCCATTTCAACATCGCCGCATTGTGTGTTACGATTGCGTGACGTTTACGGCTGCACTGAGAGAAATCAAAAGCACCTGATCCTCTTAACTTGAAGAAGGATCGGTATTCCCACCGCATCGTTTTGCAAAGTTAATTAAACAAAGCTGCTTTATCTTGTCTTACGTCCGCCTCCATAGGGATACCACCTTAATCAAGACAAGAATTACAATTTGGTTCAATTAGATGCGGTGAAAATACCGAATAAACCGAGAACTTCCTCGGCACGGGATTTGCTACTTTCATCTTCTTTCCTATTTATTTTTTTTTTTGTTCGCCGCGGTCTCGCGAAATTTAACGCGAGACGAAGTTAAAATAAAAAAAAAATAAAAAAAATACGCACGCGCAAAAAAACGTTGGTTTAAATCAATATATTGTTTCAGCAGTAATCGCCTGTCCGAATAAAAGCTGTCGTGAATAAAATCTCTCACTGATCCACAATATTATTCTGTAATCGCAACGGAAATTGCACAGCGCCGTCGGAAAGTACGATTTAAAAGGATGCCCCAGGGGAGTAATCGAGAACAATCGTTATCCCTTTACACGATCCTTTTACAAATATGCAGAAGTAATTAAGGATACCTAGAATCCCTCGTCCCTAAACCAACCGGAGCACATCTAGATTCAATAGTTGTGCATCCGCAATTAACATAAAGTTGTTCCTGAGGGAGCCAATTTTTTTTATGGCATTGTATTAACATTATCGGCTTCTTCCGCACGACCTTTCCGAAGTATCGCGATTCTGATTAAAAATCATCCTGCCGTGCTCGAACGTAATTACTTCCTGAGAATTTTATCTCGTGAAGTTTTTCATGTTTGAAGCTTGAAGGTAGCAATCTCGCCGAGAGAATCCCTTTGACTAAGTTTAAGAATTTTAATTTATCACGTAGACATTTTACCTGAATTACAATCTCATAAAAAGGAACATTTCAAGCGTTAATCATAAAATAAGTCTTCGCGAAAATAACTCGCGTACTTTAAGTAAAAGTTTCAACGCTAAGTTTCAAAGTTTTAATGCACAACCGTCGGATTGTTACGCCACTGCCGATCGCGAAGGATTGTCATCGATGTCTCATCACTTATGCGAGATGATACCTACCGTGTACGTGCTCGCATATTAAAGACACGGCTCGAATAAAACCGGGACACGCGAAGCAGCGTGCACGTGCACACGAGAGTGAGAGTACTCTGTAGCGAAGTAGTTACAAGATACATGAGGAAGCTCAATATTTTAGAGATAGGTCGGATAAAAGCTCATTACTTGTTCACACGAGAAAGGCTTGCGCCTCGACGCGCAGCTAAGGGAAACGAGAGACGTAAGAGATTCTGTCAAAGCGTAGCAAAACATTTACATTCAAATCCGATAATGTTATCCAGGATCACTAAAGCTTAGAGGAAGTAAAGTAGGCTAATTGTAAGTAACACGTTATTCGTCATAAGACGTTTCAGTTTGAGAAGTTAAAGAGGGAATATTAAATTACAGATCGTACAGAGAACCTAATACGTTTTTCAATCCCTCGATTATGCTTTTCCTAATGATATATATGCGAATTCAAATCGCGACGTAATTAAAACTGGTCCGAGAGTATGCGTGGCACATTAATTATCAGTCCTGATTATTGCGTTTTTCTCTAAGTGGATCAGCGATACGCTTGACGCGCGTGATGAAATAATCCAAACGTGATAGAGCTTACGAGATATGTGAAACGGAAACCTGCCTGATCACTCGTCATGCAGAAAATTCGGACATTCGCTTCCTAACGCCAGATCTCGACGATCATCCCGGTGCTCGTGATCGCGCTCGTCGCGTTGAAGCGAGAGCAAAAGATTCGAGAAGGATAGGAAGGAAAAGAAAAGTGACAGGCTACATCCTGCGTGTAAGAACTCGCGACGAAGGAAAGATAAAAGTGTTCGCGGAGAGGATAATTTAGGCTTCATCAGACGAAGGGACTGCTGGTGCGACGACGGTGACGTGACACCGGCGGCGATGCGGCGACGACGACGGCGGCTCCTCGTCGATGACGACGGCGGCGGTTCGGCGGCGGATGTGACCGTTCAATCGAGGAAGCCCGTCTTAACGAGTTTCTCGAGGAAGAACTTGACGTCGCCCAGCTCGGAGTCCTTGATACCGATGGACTTCAGCATACCCAGGTCGCCATTCTCCACCGCCATGAAGACCGAGCGCAGGTGCTCGAGGTCTGAGCGCATCAGGTGTAGCGCCGCGCCGAAGTCCTCGATCGTCTGCGACTCTGATAGCCGAAACAGATCGTTTCAGGGGCCAGATCGCGGGCCTATCCTTCGAGGATAGGACGGCGACGCGCTGACTATATCGCGCAAATAAATCGCGCTGACTATGCGAGATTAATAATGTTCGTCGGACCGATATCTCTTACGCGAAGTCTGATTAAGATACTCGCGATTTCGTCCTATATAATGCAATATTGCTGCTTTTAATAGATTTCCGATACGTGGGAAAGATTTACCGCGTTACAGTGATATCGGGGAACGAGGCGGATAGCTCGATGATATCCTGTTTGGTGTGGGTGGTCGCGTTTGGCACCGCGAGATTCCTGTCGTAATCTAAACCTGGGAAACTTACCGGACAACGCGATGGCCACCTTTTCCACACCACCGAGAGGCTTCAGCGTATCGCGTGCTTTGGTTCCGAACAGTTTCTCCAGGTAATTGGGACCGTGGCTGGCCAGCAGAGACTGCAGAAAACTCGCGGTTTCCTCCACGGGCGGTCGTTTGGCTGTAACAACGTGAAAGCATAGGTATTCCGTAACTGCTGTAAAATAAGACGAAATAAATGCAAAATGCACAAAGATCCCCGGTACACCGGGGATCAATACAGGGACGCCGATCCCATAAACATACATCACTTAAATTTTAATTGGAATAATTTTCTTCCTGTGTTGCCTCAAAAAATCAATAAAGCAAAAAAAAAAACCATGAGGGAAAGCAAAATCTTGGTTAACCAATATTTATGGGTACGACTCGTAGAAAGGTGAAAGCGGGGTAAAAGGTAACATCTTGCGTAAACGCATCGAACGCGTGCAGCGGCACAGCTCTCCCTTATCGTATTACAGCTGCCCGGTGCGGGTGCACGGAACGTCATCGAGTGCATCCACACCGAGCGGTATATCGGGATACACATATCCGCTCTCTCATATAGTATGCATAAAATGAAATCCGCGCCAGTACGTGTATATAATAAAATATCTAACAGCCAGGTCACACGGCAATCCGTAACCCAACAGACGGATAAAATCACATTAAAAGTGTAAAATATATTAAAAATTAGACCGTATGTTTCACGTGCTGCAAACGTGATTTATTTATCAAATCAGAATGAGATGTGTAATTAATAATGCTAAATGAATACTGTTAAATTCGTAGTATTAAATTATACTCAATTTGCGTCATTTTTAACCATTAATAAGTTGCCACTGCTCCTACTCAATATATTGTTAATTTAACTAAACCATAAAAGTCAAAATAACTATTTTGTGTTAAAATAATATAAATTTCGACACACACATGACAGTTAAAAATAACAAAATGTTATTTAACTCGAGGTATAGGTTTAAATTTAACCTTTTAATATTTAACAGTGAACTGCCCTACCGATTACATCTCATTAATTAATGAATTCAGAATTAATTAGCTCACCTGCGGTGCACAATCTTGAGTCCTCATCGTATCCGTCCTGACAATCGGGTGCTCCATCGCAGAGGTACTGTATCGAGATGCAAATACCGTCGCCCGGGCACTTGAACGGTTCGTACGGATGACAAGCCTCTGAAACACACACGCACAAACTCTGAAGAGAGCGAATCAAGTAATCTGAGCGCGTATGCTTTTCCAAATAATAATTAGAAACGTGCGCGCGCGCGCGTGTGTCATGCGGCTCAATCTCATTCCGCGGAAATGGATGTTCAGGAAAGTCGATTACGTTCGCCGGTGGGACGGTCGCCGGATGATTAAATTACGACGATAACGTATTAAAGCGAGGGATCCGAAACGGGAATTAATACGCGCGGCGCTGGTAATGCGGCAGCACCCACTTCTTCGTGCGGGGTGGGCTTTTGGGATAATTGAGCGAACACGCGATCGCCACATTGCTCACGCTACAAACAGCCGGCGCGCGTATATAGTTGACGGTCCTGAAAAATCAATTAGCAAACCGCTCAATCTGATAGAACTGCGGGAAGAATTGGTAAACACGTAATATCGATTATTTGCTTCTCTCTTTCATAAAGCTCGTAAAATCAACTCCGCCAAACTTCCTTCGTCAAAATTTGCTCTGCAATTAAAGGTCTTTCCCCCTACAAGATTTTCTACAGAAACAAACGCTCTGGGTAAATATTATCAGGTTTAATAAAAGTCGCTCGAAAGAGTAGAAACTTTATGTATACCGATCCTGCTAAAAAGAAGAGCGAAATTTTAGGTGTTAAGCCTTCCTAGAAGGGAGAAGAAATTTCCTCAGAACCCTTGGAACAGCTGTCGGAAGTCCTGTTTCCCAGGAAGATCAACGATCGACGTCCTATTTGTTTTACGGAGGAGGACCACGCTGCGAAAAAGCTTCAACTTCTGTCTTTAACTCGTAGGAAATGTTTTGTAATACCTCACGTGCGAGACCTTTAACTCGTCCACTCCACTTAAACGAGAAAAAAAATATCAGCGACTTAATAAACGCGCCCACGCGTTTGTTCGGACGCACGTTTTATCCCGGATGAGAATTTTCGCCCGACGCAAGAGAAACGATTTCCGTTTCGCACGCGCGAAAAACGATGGGAACGATCGATTGTGTAACATTGTGCCACACTCGTTATACAATCGCCCACGTTCGTTTCGCACGTAAACGTAATTTACACCGCAAACGCGGAGTGTCGCGTCCACAAAGTGCCCCGTGACAGTCAATTTTGACCGCGTTAAAGAATTCGATGTCTATACACGCCGCGTGTTTATCGAAAAACCGTATCGAACCGGCTATACCCACTCGGCGGTGTGGCCCCGATCGCCATCAGCGTTATTACGCGTAGAATTACGTCGCAGTTCTCCTTCTCTCGCGTGTTTGTTTAGACAGGACGCTTATACGTTAGGTTTCGGGCAAACATTTTACTAATCAACCGGTCGTATCCGGAATTCGTTATCTGTCCCATATCAAGAGAGGGAGAGAGAGGATTGCGTTTGAACTTAAAACAACGTTCGCGAGGCGATTATTATAATTGCTGCACGAGCGTTGCAATTTGTCCTTGTTTGCGTTTAGACAAGTCGCGTACATGTCGTGGGCGTATCTCATCAACAATGTTATTGCGGACATTTCACCGATCGACAACGATGCAATGATTCCCCGGGGAGTAGCCGCCATCCCCCGCGGAACCGCGAACCCCGATCTCTATGCATTCTGAATGAAATGATCGTCGAGGGGACATTAGAAAAAAAAAAAAGATTGTCGCAAATACCCCTCCGCGGATGATGGGCGCGACATATGCGACCAATTTTAAATAAGAACATTTCGATCGGCGACCCGCGCTTCGAACTTTTATTCCCCGTACGCACGTTACGGAATTTTCGCACGTATAAACTCGTTGAAACTTCGTTGGCGCCTCTCCATATTATACAAGATACAAGTTATAAACAGTTTAAAAGCGAGCTCGAATCCACTTAACGAGACTTGCGAAACTCACCCCTTCCATCGGCGAAAGGTGAAAAATGAATAGAAGCTTATCTAGTAACATATATCTCATCTCTAAAAATAATTTTCGCTTCATCGTCGAATTTACGAGGGCACGACTTCCATCGACTTCATCTTTTACTTGATCCTTACTCGTCTCTTATTTAAGTTGGAATGAATTCGCGTAAACAAGTCGTCTATATAGACATTTTACTGTGTCTCTCGAAATAAAATAAAATGGTAAAAGTTCCGCAGAACCAAAGTAACTCTACAGTTTGACAATTACGAGAAACAGGGGCTCAGGAATATAATATGTTTAATATCAAAGCACGGTGCGATGAAAGAATATAGTTATAAATTTTAACGTAGTCGGCGCAACTTTGTGACATTACCATTTTTTTTTAAAGAAAAATAAATAGATTTATGAATAATTACAAGAAACGAGGGCTTGGGTAAGACAGGGGATGCAACGACCGCATGAAGCCCGCTTTGCGGCGGATCGGCCCTGAATAGCCGCGAGCTGAGTAAAAACGCATGCTTCTAAATGTCATTGGCGTGCTATATACGACTCGGTACGCGTTAAGTATGCGCGTTATTGACCGAGCAAACGCGCACGTAGCTAACCGTCGCGTTGAAGAACATGATCCCCATATGGCCGCGAGTTTCAACGGAACATCTCCATCGTAATCCCCCGAGCCCGTTAATTTCAATGAATGTTAAGCAGGAGAAACATATGGTAGCACATAAAGAACGACAATGTCTCCCGGAAGCCTTCTCTCTATTTCGTGCCCCTTACGAGCATCCCGCGTGGGCTCGTACATATAATGTTTACTCGCTGTAAGCTAGAGAATTTACATATTATATGTACGTATATCTCATATGATACACAGCTTCTTAACCATTTCACGATTGTCACTCGAATCGACCACATCATATCTTTTCGTTAATTTCGGACGTTAAACAAACTTTAATTGTTTACAAAAATTATCGAGTACAAAAAGGTGTTGGTTAAAGATAAAAACGTAAATTTATTCAGAATTATAAATGATAAGACACATTGTACGTTTCGACTTGCTGTAAGTCTTCTTCAGCAATCGAGATATAATATGGAGAATTAAAATAAAGGCTACATAGTAGAATTAATGAAAAGAAAAAAGATTAATAATAGAAGCTAAGTAATACGGAAATTAAAACATATAATAAAGAAATAGAACAGTACAAAAATAAACGAGGATACATCATACATCACAAGCTTTTTTATGATGCATCCTCGTTTACTTTTGTATTTGTTTCGCTTACTGTTTTATTTCTTATTATATGTTTTAATTTTCGTATTACTTAGCTTTTTAGCTTTTATTATTAATCTGCTTTATTTTTATTTATGTAGCCTTTATTTTAATTCTTATATTACATCTCAACTGCGCTGAAAAAGACCTACAGTAAGTCGAAACATACAATGTGTCTTATCACTTATAATATTGTGTGAATACGTTTTTATCTTTAACCAACATCTTTCTGTGCTTGTTATTGGTCGTTGACCTTTTTTCATAAGTTTTGCTTGGATCAAGCGTTTGACTTCTTTTTATTATAGAATTATCATTCGCGGTTTGATCGCATAATAATTTAAGTAGATAATTAAGTATGTAAAAAATATACCGATCGATGTGATGAATAATTTCATTCAACATTCTCGTCAAGACGACATCAAAGAAATCGAGAAATTATTAAACGACGATGGAAGTGGAACACTTTATATGCGTTCCGACATATATAATATATGCGAGAAAATTATGCAAACTCATTCCAAAGTTTCATGCTGAGCTAATTTATCTAATTGATATATCTACAGTAACTTTCTCTAATTAGAAAGCACAACCCTACACAAACTATATAAATCAGTTTCCTGAACTTTTTAGTTTCTACAGTTGCAGTAGTTAACTCTATGTTTGCGCGGACAGACTAAGTTTCCTCTCAAACTTTTATATGCCTTCAATATATTACGCTCTCTAGAAACAGCTGACGACAATATTGCATGAGATGTATAAATACACGTATAAATTTATCATAAACAATTAAAGTTGTCGTCATTAAACTATGACAGCTTTACAACAAAGTTATAATTTTGTCAGACGCCAACACGTGTATTTTGTTGAAAACATGTAAAAGCACATAAAAAGTAGTAGATTATAAATATGCATTGATAAAATCATCCTTTTAATTTTATATTACTTCAATTGCAAGATGTTCAAGCACTTCAAGCAAAAGAAATAAAGACAGCTCTGAACGATTATTAAGATTTGATAAATGTTGGTAATTTGATTACTTCTTTGAATAACTTTATATACTGGCGTATTGTAGTAAGAAAATGTAGAAATTCCATAAAACATTGCAAATACACAATCGATTATATAAATCGAATATATGCAGAATGCAGGATGCGAGAAAATATATTTTACGATCAAACTTTTATAAAAATATAAACTTAGAACAAATATAACGTATATTTTTTTTAAATACGCTAAAACGCATTTTATCTTCACTTGAACATTCTGCAGTTCATAAAATCATTCAAAATGAAAGTTTGATTAAAATTGTAATGTTCGTACAACACGCGTTTGTAGTTTGTATGTGCAATTCTTCGTGTTTTCCCGAAAAGAATAATGTGCCTTATAGAACGACCGTATTCTCCGCGCGCGATTTTATTTTTGCGCGATTTCTTCCGCACGATCGTCTTACACGGTTTCGCGCCCGAGACTCGCGGTCTCGTCGGCAGCGCGGAATCGTGCTTTCTCGAGCTTTCCCCCGTCCCCCGTAATTCTCCGTCGTGCTCGAGGGTGTCTCGTCGTCGACTTACCCGAGCGTTTCGTGTTGAAGTGACCGTAGAAGCGGCTGAGGTCGATCGCCATGACGGCGCGCGGAAAAGCGGCGCAGGCCGTCAGGGCGATGCCAAGTGCAACCGCACCGTTGCAGAATCTCCGTACCATCCTCGCTTCGAGCGGATGCGAGTTGCAGGCAGGCGCTCCTTCTTCTTCTTCTTCTTCTTTCCGCTTCTGCGACGAGTCGAGGGCTTCCTCTCCTTCTTTCACCTCTCGCTAGGGGGTGGACTTCTTCTCTTCACCCCGAAGAATCCCTGGTTCCTCCTCGCGAACGCGAATCTGGTGGACGGTGGACGTATCCGTCACCCTCGCGAGAATCACCTGGTCGCTCGCTCGCCTGTTGGTATCTGGTGCGCCACCAAGGTTCGAGTAACTCCTCGGGGTGGCTCGTGCAAGGTTCCTCGCCCCGAGAGCGCTCCGCTTCGGGCTGCGCGATGTGTCTGTATGCGTGGGCGCGAATGTTAACGGCGCGGCGAGGTCGCTCTCACACCACCCACCTCGCTCGCCCTTTCTCGGAATCTTTCCGCTTTCTCGCTCCCTCTGGTCCGGTCCGCTCTCGCCACCTCCTTCTCGCACTTACGCCCGTGAAAAGATACGCTACCTATCCCTGTTGGGCGCGCGGTGACGGTGCACAGCGGTGCACAGCTACACTGCGAACCCTGCGAACACACACCTGCGCCACGCGATCTCACCTGCGGCCGGCTCGCGTTGGTGACTGGGGTGGGGGGAGGGGGAGGGCGGAGAGGACGCGTGGGAGGCTGGCCGACCAATCGGCCGCTGGGTTACGCCGGATACGGCCAATCGGGTAACGCGAGATCGCAGGTCTACCCTGGAACACCCACGCTTGCCGTTGCGCCCAGTCGCATCGATTTCAACCCCTCGTCGCGTACTCCCAGGGGCGTAAACGAGGGGTGGCTAACGCGAGCGGCCCGCACAGGTAAGATACGTCGAAATCGTATTTTTTTCTTTTTCACCGTATACCTACCTTCTCTGCCATTGCATTAAATCTCCACGTAATTGGCGTACCGATATCTGTCCTCTTTCTCTCCCTCCTCACATCAAGCGTGTCCTCTCTTATTACGCTTCCTCCTCCCCGGCTCGCCGTTACGCCCCTGCCTCCGCCAAATAGGTAACTAAGGTAACTTTCGCTTGTCGTTACAATAAGGTGCTTTTAAGCGCCCGCAATAATACGTCGGCGCTCAGTAATTTTATGGCGAATCCGTCGTTATCCATGTCGAGAATTGCCGTAATTGCTCGATCCTTCCGAGTAGCGCACGGAGTAACGACTGCTCAAATGGCGCGCGGTATTTTATCTCGATTGGATTTCGTTCAGACGAAACAATGAGCTTAATAATCGTTGCGTAATGTCGAGTACCGTTTACCGCGACAGAACATCGCCGGCGATATCGATTACCTTCAATCGCGAAGAATGAACTCCCGGAATTTGCGCAAATTATTCGCCGCGATGTTCTGAATGAAGATACGTCAGACACGATAGCATAATGCCACAATGCACATTATTGTTACAGAACTGTTAAAGATAATTTCGCAGTAGACTCGATTTTGCAATACACAGTGGCGCGCGATAAAATAAACCGGTTTTCGCATCGATGCCGAATTGCTCGAATGAGATTTCAGAAGGAATATATAAATGCGTTCAAACGACAAAAATAAATTTCTAAACTTCTGATGTAATGCCTGTTTTTTAAATATTTGTTGTTAAGAAATAGATTTCTTTTCCCTGTATAATTGTTAAACTTAATTATAAGGAAGAGAAATTTATACTTTTTAATTTAGCTTTTAATTTAACTTGGTGTCGAGTTTTATAGAACTTGTGAAGAAGCCTCTATTTATTAGATCCCTCGAGAAGATGAAATGCGGTTATTCGCCGGTTATCCAAGCTATTACGTGGATTAAAGCGTCCCACGCGTGCTTTCATTTTATTTCTTCTTCTTACTACACTTTTCTTTTCTCCACGATACGAGAATATCACAAATTATTGACATTTTTTGATATATTATTATTGGCACAGTTTTTCTTGATATATTATCATAAAATTGATCGTAAAAGTATTAGTATTATTCCAAAATGATGTATCTCTCTATAGTCAAAAACGTTAAAGACATTTATTCGAGAAAATTGGAGCAAGTCTGTCCTTTTATTCTTATAAATTCTACAAATTTTGATCGTACGTACTTGTTTTGACCAAAGTGTCCTGATCTGTCTCTCTTTTAACATTTTCTCTCTCTCTCTCTCTCTCACTCTCTCTCTCTCTCTCTCATCGTTATTATATTTATTTATATATTCACACATTATCCCAGGTAACAGAATGACGTCTAAATTAAAGCATCTTAGTGACGTATTGAGACGTCATCAGACGTTAATTAATACGTCATCACTTAATACGTTAATTAATGACATCACTCTGCTACCTGGGATACTTGTATCATTCAATAATAAACCATGAATAAAAGATAATTCGCGAAGGACACCCTATATCGGTTGCAATTATAATTAACTGCGCGATCTCGCTATTTTATTTTTACCATCTGCTTCTTTAAAAATCTTCATTGCGTAATACGAATATTATCTATATGCTCTACCATGTGTCTACGAGAACTTATGTTTGAAATGCGACCAAGGGTCAGATTCTTTCTCCTTTTTCTATTTTTATTATAAATATTGTAATCTAGGAACGAAATACTTGGCTCAGAATTTGTATCGAGGCTTTTCGAACCGAATCTTCGCACATACCTGAATGTAGCGACGTTTGCAAGATTCATTATCGGAAACTGAAGTTTTCACCGCGAGTATCGACGTGTATACTTGACCAACTTCAATAGGAATCGACGCGTCGGGCAACATCTCGACGGTATTATTGCCCAATGCCCGTTTCATATCATACGTTTACAAGAGCGGGCGATTGATTCTCCTTTCGTCTCGAAGGATTCGAATTAGAGTCCGCGATTCGAGAGGGGCCATCGATGTACCGTCGAGATTTATTATTATGCCGCTCCTGCTCCTTCTTAGAAATGTCACGGTAACGCAGCCCGCAGGGCGTACGGCGCATCAGCCGATCAGCGGATCAGCCGATTGCGGTCGTATAAACAGACGAGAATGCGTCTGGCCTGACGATCGCGATGCAGTCCGACATCATGGAGGATTTGAAGATAAAATTTTTCGACCTCATTAACAAGCAGGTAAATCCGTCGTTCACGAATACGCGATTATTGTAACACGCGAGGTGCATGAGCTCCGTTCGCTGCGCTGCCCAGAAGTGAGGTTATGCGACGACTCGGAAATGATGTGTACATTCCAACGTTTGACGTTTCGCTGTCAAACTACGTTGCGTTTACTTGGCGTTTTCCTTATCCTCGTAATTGGTTTTAACGAGAACTATTATTGATAAAATAGCAGTTTGAGGAATTTAGCATTTTGATATCATTTATATTACGCCTCATAACGGTTATATTTATGTCATGATATATATAATTTAGATATAGAATATAATTTAATATTTATATTTGAAGACCCGTATTGAATTACATATATAAATTATAATCACCCTGTGTATAATCACCCTATATATATTTGAAAAAGTTTATTCAGTCTCGACAAATCTGTACTGACATTAGCCACGCCTGATTGTTAGCTAAAATTAAAAGAAACAACATTTGATTTGAATATTAGCTATGCTATTGTTAAAAAAGATAAAATCCATAATCGTTTATCATTTTTTTTTTTAGAATGCAACTAAAGTGCCGCTTATGGGTTTGAATCCCGATCTACTTAATCCACCTGAATTACAAAAATGTGAAGACCTCTGCTCCGAGGCTGATCAATCGACGGAGAGCGAGCCTATACCCGATCAAGATGTGTTGGACTCTATCGAAGACGTTTACTTCAATACCGATGGTAGCTTTGATTCGTCGCGCTACGAACTGAAGAAACTGCCAATGATACTGCACTCTAAGGAAATTGAGAAATGTTATAAGAAACTCAAGCAACAACATCAAGTTGTCTCCACGAAAGTGTTGCAGCTTATCTTGCAGAAACAGAGTGCCTGTAACGCAGAATTTGACAGGATTTACCTGCTGCAGGAACAACTGCAGGACGTCTTAGAAATATGTAAGATGGGAAGGGCAGATCTGAAATTAGCTGAGAAACAATTTACTAAAGCGAGCTTAGGCATATTAGCTAATTACCAGAGACGACAAGTGACCCAAGATCTGTTAAATAGTTTAAATACTATAAAGACCCTGGTAAGTTATAAATATTTTACACATTTGTCGTTAAAAAAAAATATATACGCTTTATAAGAGGCTAAGTGCTAACTTTGTATCACATTATATAGCAATGTACGGGGAATCGTTTGAAAGAGCTTCTGGATGAAGGGAATTATCCTGGAGCTATATCGCTTCTTTTGGAGTGCCAGAGCGCCGCTCAGACTTACAAGCATTTCCATTGTATCGCTGAGCTGAATGCAAACTTACAAAATATTTTGGATCAAGCGGAAAGGACCTTAGACAATACGCTCTCTAAAATGTGCACTGAATTCGACGTCGCGGTGTATTCTTCTATTCAGGAAGCTTATACGTTGTTAGGGAAGACTCAATCTGCCATGGATCAATTGCACTTGCATTTTACTGCTGCCATTCATAACACGGCGTTCGCCATTATCTATCGCTATGCAGGAGGTGACATGAAAAGACAATATAAACAATTGTGTCAGGCTGTGCCTCGTGAGAAATGTATAGCTTGCCTCACGGAACTGTGCAAATCATTGTGGACAATACTGAATTCGTATCATTTAATTGTAAATTGGCATAACGCGCAAGAGGATAAAGTCGAGTGTAAGTCTGATGTTAAGGATTTAGAGGCGACTAGAAGCAAGCACTATGTCAAACACAAATTGGAGAATGGTATGGTCCGAGTATGGCACGATGTGGAGATGAAGATATCAGTATATTTAACGAACACAGATCTGACAAATACCAAGTTTGAACAGTTTGTTCAGGTATTGGGTATAGTTAACAGGTAAGCAAATTGATAACGTATGATGATAATTGTCAGTTGATACTAAATCAGAATCATCCGTTAAACTGTTTGTGAATTATAGGTTGATGGAAATTGGGGAAGATCTCTGTGGTTTCAAATCGGAGAACTTGCAAGAGTCCATAAAAAAGCAGTCCCTGTCTTACTTTTCTCATTATCACGCCTGTCGTTTGGATGAATTGAAAATGTTTTTGGAAAACGACGGCTGGGAGTTGTGTCCTGTAAAGTCCGATTTCATGGCTACTCAATTATTGGAATTTCGAAGTCTGAAACCTTCGCTCAATAACTGTAAAGCATGGAATAGCTTAGATAGCTCGAACTTAAGCGACAGCGATAATTCTACGGGAGTCGCAGGAGACCTGCAAAAATATCTGGAGGGCGGTTTGTCACCGTTCACAATAGGATTGGATGATACTATGGATGAAGATATTTTAATAAATGATGTAGGAAAATCACTAAACTAATACATTTTAACGCTGCCAAAATGATTAATCTATGTTACTGATCTTTCACGTTTTCTTGTTTAGATTGATCAACCCGCATATTTTTCGGACGAGTCCGATGAGGATATTCCCGATGAATTGAAGCATGAATATGTCGACGAGCCAGATCATACGAAAGTTAATAAAAAGAAGTGCAAACTCAAACAGTCTGGACCTATGGTCACAAACACGACGTTAAGCATACTGAGAGTGTGCGGCAAGTATCTACAGATGTCGAAGCTTTTACGATCAATCGCTGTTACTGTCATACAGAGCATGATACAATTTTTCGAGCTGTGCTTCTACACAGTACACTTATTCTTTACGTCGGATCTCGTAAGTTCACGTTACGATTCTTAATTCTTAACTGTGCTCGCGTGACTGGAACGTGATTTAGAATACGGTTCTCTATTCTTTCAGCAAATCAATAGCGACTCGTTATACAGTCCGAAATTAAAATTATCCTTAACGCGAATCAGAGAAACTCTGATTATCTCTGAGAATGATACAATGGAAGAAAATGGCAATGCGAATTACGATAAAGTAAGACAACCACAGCTTTCATCCATTGTGAATTTGTCACAGCCCGAGAAACTTCACGGATTAACGGAACGTATTGTAGCTGTCGAGTCTCTGATATTTTTAGGACAGCAGTACGAAGGCCTAAGGTCTTATTTAGAGCATCTTATTGCCAGCAGTCCTCAGAGAGGATTTTTACATCAGTTTTATATGCAAACGATAGCGTCTGCCGCAGACTTAAGAAAGCCAGTCTATATGGCAGTAACGTCGCAAGCGTTTGACGTTGTAAATATTTTGAATTTGATGAACAAAGTTAATTGGGAGGTGACGGACGTCATGTCTCAACACAGTAATTATATCGATGCGCTAATCCAGGTACGTGTTGCGATAAATAGTTTACTATTAAATGTTGTCAATTATGATGTTGAAAATATTTTTTGACATTTTTTTATAGGAAGTGTGCATTTTGAACGAGAGACTTAATACTATTGGAACGTATATACCTTTGAATGCGCATATATGTAATGCAGTATGGGAAAATGTGGCTCACTTAATCACACACACCTTAGTGGAAGGGTACAACGAACTTATTATCTACATATTTTAAGAGTACTTAATATTCTAAAGGAATTAAATTCAACTGACAAAAATGTAATTTTGTCGCTTTAGGTTTTCCAATGCTAAAAAGTGTTCAAATGGCGGTAGAGCTTTAATGCAACTTGATTTCACGCAGCTAAAGTCAAAGTTTGAGAAAGTGACGTCGTTGAGACCTATGCCGCATAGGGAGTATGTTGAATTGTACATCAAAGCGTACTATCTTCCTGAAAATAGCTTCGAAGAATGGATTAAGGAGCACAAGGTATTTACATATATAAATATTACGTATGTAGGATATTGGCAATTTTTTATTCTCTGCCTACAATAATAGCATATAAAATTCATGATTACGTCTTGCAGGAATATTCAGTTAAACATTTAATCGGTCTGATTTCGGCGACGTGTCAAAACAATAAGAAAACGCGGCAACGATTGATAGCGCTTGTGGAGGAGCAACGGCCCAGCAGATAGCATCCAACTATTTATTATAAATCCGTGCAAGATTATATCGAAATAGGAAGTATTTGAGATGTCTATCAAATTGGGAATACAATAATCGTGTTGTTGATTGTACAGTAGAACAATTTTTTAAGTACGTTACAAAATTGATCAGATATATTCGTGTTTAAGCTATCTTAATCGAATTGAAATCTCCGAGAGAATCACGATCACGAACCAAATAAGTCACAATTCAATATATTTATTAAGTATTCTGTATATGAATCTCATATAGCTCTAAGAACGCTTTTACAATGTTACTAACTGTAGCTCTAATGTGTATATCACAAATGTTTTAACATATACATGGTATTTTAGAGTCTATACAGTTAGACCACACGCGAATTGGTACGATGAAAAACTTTAGCTTATTTTTAATATACAAAAGATATCTCTCGAACGCGAAAGTGCACGGTTATACGAATCTCATTTGTGAATCTGCGAATTTGCAATTGAACTGCAGTATTAACATGCGATTACCGTGGTAACTAAGAACTCAAAATGTTGCCACATTGATTTTACACAATGAAAAGATATATGTATATATATGATCTATACGCATTGCAGTGTTAATTTAAGAAAGTTTTTTTTTTTTAATATGACGATATTGTCATAAAAAATTGATATTTTAATATTTACCTGCTTTAAAAATTCTATTTTATATAGTTTTATTTTTGTAAAAAAGTAGAACACGCATTAACCATATGACGTGTTTTTTCTTTTTCTTTGAGATTATATATGTGATTAAACTTCGATTTACAAGAATAACAAGTATTTCCGAAGCTAAAGTGAAAAACATGAAAGATAATGTGATGATTAATATCCCGTTTTATTCAAACTGATCATATTGGCTGTCAATAGTAAAACCATGACTGTTCGCTGAATTTTAACAATGTTATTTATTTTACTTTATTATTGATTCAGTCTTATGTAAATTGGGAATAATATATATCAAAGTACTAATAAAAGAATTAAACTGTAAAGTATCTCTAATGTTATCTTCTATACCCAGAAATTATTATTACAAGTTGCTACGCGTTCATTGCATGGTACATATGTATATACCGCAGAATGCACAATTTGAAGAAATTTTTATTATACAAAAATGATAGTAATATACAAGTACATACATACTTTCTAGCTTCGTCGATTTCCGATTTCGTAAAAATTGCTATTATATATTTATATATTGCATTTATTATATATTTATATTCCATATACACACCATAAACCAAAAAGCTCCTGTTGCACCAGTATATATAAATGCTCCTAATGCTTGAAATTATTTTAATGCCCGAAATTCTTTGTGAACAATCCGCTCTTCCTATCTTAAAGAATACGGATTACTCGTTGATCTAATGAAGATTCCTAAAGTATTAGTTAGAATTTATTTTGAATAATTACATGTAAATAGCTTTATAATATAACATTCGAGGGCCATATAATTAAGAATGTAACATACTATAGACTATTCAAACAATAGGAATAAATAGCAAATATGTAAATTAACAGAACAGTATTGATTTTCTCCTTTATTGCGCTAAGTCTTCCTTTCTTCTAAGGCAGATATTTCGTTCATGGATGTATTCTATTCATGATCGTGGTGCATTAGGAATTCTCTGGCTGATAGCGTCGATCAATGTGTAAGCTGACAGCGTCGATTCACGTGTAATATTATTCCTTATTACTCCGCTTTAATGAGCCTTAAATTTTTTTTGTATGGCCCCTGATACGATGTCGTACTTATCAAATGTCGTTTATTTTCTAAATGGCAAATCACACCTGGATATTCTTCTAACCGAAAGAATAGGTATATATATATATCTATGTGTATGTATAAATAAAAGGGATGACACGTTATTGTATGCCTTTTCTTGAGTATCTTGAGTAAAAATCTCCAGCGCATCAATCTCTCAATAGCAATAACTTTTAGGGTCTCTATGTAACATTGATAATATCAAATTACCTAAAAATTGTATCAAATGACACAACTGTACTCTAAATATTTACGAATGTTTTATTCTGCAAGACAAGTGCAACGCAATATCGTAACAAAACTATTTGTTCAAATAATTTCTTCACCGAACTGAGTTTGGAAACCATGTATTTTAGAGTCCAAGATTTGTAATCTTTCATTGGCCTTTTCATTATTTTATCTCTGAAACTTATAACTTTAACTCTACAACACATTAATTTATTAAATTGCTACTGGACATAATTGGCCGTGTAGTAACAAAATTACAGTAATTACTCCTACAAACTAATCATAGGTTTTTCTTTAATGCTGTAAAATTCTCGCTACGTTCAGGCTTTGGATATTAGTGAAGCAAAATAGTTGATAATTTAGAATTATCTCTGACTTATTTACCTCAATGCTAAAAAGTGAAATAGTTTATTTATTTAATAAACAGATATATGTAAAAAGATTTAAATTTATTTTCCTTCTGGAACTTATATTGTCTTTTTAGAGCGACTTTTTTTTCTTGCCTATATAAACCTTTTTTTTCTATCAAAACTGCCGTGAAATAATATTTTCTATTAGTCCTCGAGAAACTTTTCGCGTATATGTAATTCGTTATTGTATTTCTTCTTTATATTATTTGTATTAGTATTTGTATTTTTTTCTTTATAGCATATTAGTATGGATATGTGGAACATATAAGACGCTCGACATAAACTGGAATATATCAAACATATTTATATACATAAAAGTTCGTCAATTAACATCATAACATCACATTTAATAAGAAAATGGCTTCTGCTAAAGCTGATGATAAAACGTAACACAATTACATATATTTTTTTATATCATTAAAGAGAGAGAGAGAGTACATGATAATGATACCGATGCTTGAAACAGTGTTAAAAAATGTAGAGATTACGTTCATGAAATTGTACAAATACGTGACCATAGAGTGCTAGGTAATATATCTAACGTTCTCTGGAAAACAGTTCAGCATTTCCAAAGCCTGATTATGATTTTTATACAGACGATGCGTTCAACATTCACACCATCTCTTAAGTGAGTTAAATGAGTACTTAATATTAATGGTACGGATGTTGGGAAAGTTGTACAAACTTACGTCTGGAAAGATCTCTTGTTATAATCCAATTGTGAAGATCATTCATATAACTAAAAATGTTTCTCTAATAGTCTAATTCGCTAATGTACCATGGAATGTAAACAAGGTGTCAATGCATCCATGAATTACAAAGATATATCATCGCTATTATTTACTCGTAACTCAATTTGATTCGATAATCATACACAAACATTTTGAACACTTGTAAACTTCTACGAATCAATTATGAATCTCGAAGTATATTCTTACTAGTCTTACTCTATGGATTATGCTATGAGAAATGAAACGGAAACATTTATCTCATCCGTTTAAAATGTTGCTCTTAACGATCCGATCGTTGCGACCTAATACTAATATGCTTTATTATCCAATACTCACTTAAACAGTAAAAAATATTGGCAGATTCAATGCTGTTACGTTCTTTGTAACATTGTTTCCTTTCCTCGCTTTTCTTTTCTTTTTTTTTGGTTTTTGAGCTCACAATATCAGTAAACCGATAACTCCTTATTGCATTGCTTCCTATACTCTGTGACTTGTGCGTAATCATAATAAGTCTGATGATTAGATATTATCGCATTTCGACCACCCGTGATCACGATAAGCGGAAAAAGATGCTAATTAAGGGAGCTAATTAAAATACGCGCGTTGGAAGACATTATCCAAAAAAGAAAAAAAAATAAATTAAAAGCAATTTTTCGGCACAGAACTCTAAATAGCAAAAATGTTTACTAACGAAATAATGTCGCTGTACTATATAAAGCCTCAATGTAGGTATGGTAAATTTATTTACGTATTATACTCACGGGCTATATGTATGTATGAATATTATATAGTACACATTAGAGATAGCCTTTTTGACAACAAGATATTGCGAAGTTAAAAATCTAGCCGCGTTTCGTTAAAAAACCTGAGGTACTTTCCGCTCGAGAAACGCAACTCCGCTCAAATAACAGTTACATAGATATTAGATATGATCCTGCAAAGGTAAGTTATACAGTATACCAATCCTTGTGAATCTGTGAACCTCGTGTAATATCATAACTAGATTCTCGTAAATTTTTTCTTTTTCTTTTTAAACTTGTACAACTTGTATGTCTCATGAAACAGTACACTTGTGTGAATATGTTACATGTACAGAGCGATATTAAACCCGCTAGCGTAACTCTATTCAATAATTATTTCCATGAAATGGGATAAATAGCTAGCATAACAAAGGTCACGTCCCTTGGTACCTCGTTTACAATAAATTACTATTCATCTAGTATCAGTATTATTGGAACACACCATTAATAGTTATCTTTATATTGTTTGTTTTTTCCCCTTTTGCACCTGTGATAACTTTACTCGTAAAAAAGATGTCGTCAAATGTATCATTGTCAGTTGTTCGTCTTAACGGGAGCCTCCACATGATAAATTAAAAATAAAAAATACAAAGCAAACGTGTATTCTCTGTATATATAGCTAATTTGTGAAAAATAAATATTTGCTCATAATTTATGATTACTGGTTAACCACGTAAGGCCCTCGTAAAGCCCGTCTCCCGTTGTGGCACAAGATGGCTGAACGTACCAATTTCTATCTCGTATCCTAGTTAATCCCAGTTTCTCCTGTATTTCGTGCGGTTTCATAGCTAAAGGAAAACAAAAGTATTGGCGAAAATTAGTATATTGTGCTAAGCCATGTAAAGATATCTGTAGCACATATATACAATGCGCCACACTACTTACTAAAACTACCAAAAAATATTAATTTACAACCAACACAAAACCATAAATATCAACTTACCATCCGGAAGATCTTGTTTATTCGCGAATATTAAAATGATCGCATCCCGCATTTCCCTGTCATTTATGATTCGATGAAGTTCTTGGCGGGCTTCGTCGATCCTATCCCGATCCGCGCAGTCTACTACAAAAATAAGTCCTTGCGTTCCTGTATAGTAATGACGCCATAACGGACGTATTTTATCTTGACCACCTACATCCTGAACAAACAGAAACATTTCATATGATTAATAACACAAACGAGGTTAAGGTAATTCTCTTTAGGTGATCTTTACAGATTCTCGTTAAAGTGCTCGATACTCACCCACACGTTAAATTTAACATTCTTATAGGTAACTGTTTCTACATTGAATCCTACAGTTGGTATAGTTGTCACAGACTGTCCTAGTTTAAGTTTATACAATATTGCTGATATAATTTCATTAAGGAAATAAATATAAAAAACAGTCAAATTAAAATACATCTTGTCTACGTTATATAATGTATATCATATGAAAAAATCAATTGAAACAGAACGAGTATAGATAATAAATTATATGTTTATGGAATTGAGATTAACAACGTAGCAAAGGATACTAGTTTTACCCGCCGCATCCAATCCCAACATTAGGATGCGCATTTCCTTGTTGCCAAAGATCTTCGACAACAATTTTCCCATTTTGCAGGCTGTGTTCTAGGCACCTGGCACCTGTAACAAAATGCACGGGTATAAACGATCCGTTAGAACCCGTGAATCTATCAAACTTATTTAACAACGTCACTGTGTCATTCCGTCACCGCGGACCTCCATAACAGTATAAGAAATATATCTGACAAAACGCGTTCAACAAAAGTCCGTCTCGGTATCAAGTATCATATCTCACGGACGCGCGCGAGACCAACGATAACCGACCGGTCTGTCGCGGCGAACACAGAAAAGAGAGAAAAAAAAAAGAATAAATACGAGGCTCGTCGTAATCGTGTCAGGCTCGGGCGGAAATCGACGTGGAGGCCGCGAGGACTTTAAAAGCCCACGTTTAAATCCCACGCCTCGTCCGCGCTGTCACGTCCGATCGATCGACAGGTTACCTCGGCGTCTAACCTCCGCTACGAATTTCTCATCGCGGTCGAGCGGGCGCTGGGGACAACCTGCGGGCGGGACGCGGACACCTCGGTAACGCGGATAAACAGAGACGAGGCAGGCAGCGGCCAACACTTCCCCTAACCTATCAGCGCGAGAACATCGTCGGCCGCCACCGTCGCCGCCGAACAGGGTGTAAACTTTCGGTGCAGCGCGCAACGTTTGCTGCACTTTCTGCCACCAAAATAGCGATCGTTGTATTTGCGCCCTTCGCATTTTCCGCCGTTTTCTCTTACCGATTTATAGGATCGGAAACAGTAGAAATAATTGCTTGATTTCGATAAACTCGCGCGGTTCTTTAGATAAAGTCCTATATATTTTTTTTTATAAAAATCTTTCGATAACTCGTGAATGATCGACCTCGTTCTTGTATACTTATTTTATTTAGTCCATATTTGAATTATTAAAAACCAGATCACGTCGCTTTATTTTCTACTTTTCTAATCGCGCTTGGCATTTAAAATGAGACAGGCGTATGATCGGGCTATGAGAGAGGGAGAAGAGGAGAGGGGAAGAAATGCAGGAAGCGCGAACCAAAGCGAGGGCAAACATATATATTTAAATATTTAAAATTTTATTTTGAACGCAGGAAGAGTGCAGTTGAAACATTACCTATAACGGAACGCGGATACGTGTTCGACCCGCAAAGACGGTATGGGTCGAGGTGCAGAAAGTGCAGAACGAAAACGGACGGATTGCAACGTATTGCCGCGCCGCGCGAAACGGAAAGGCGTGTTCGTGTGTGGGCGACGAGAGACGGGGACGAACTTTTATCGCGAACCGCGCTAATTCGCCCGACACGTTTTCGGGACCGCGATGTCAGGTTCCGAAAGGAACATAGTCATAAAGAATGAAAAGAAAAAGAGAAAGAAAGAGGATTCGCTGCCGCGATGACTGTTCGACACTTCGCGAACTATCGATCGTTCGCGACGTTCCTTTTCCGACAATCGTGCGACGCGCATACTTTCGACACTTTCGTTCGAGCGGCGGCATGCGGTCACGAGGAGCGGTCAGAGGGGTGGGGCAGAGAGGAGGGAGGGAGGGAGAGCGAACGACTCACCGAGAAACATCTGCAGAGAAGAGCGAGGATCTGACCGTTGACAGTATTGCACGGACACATCACAATTACGCTGCGCATTGCCGTGTTCTCCGCCGATCGGTTCTCTCCACGATTATATCGTTTCGCGCGCTCGTGAAAGCGTTATTTCATCGTCGCCATGCATGGACGGCGGCGCATTGCCGTGCCGTCGTCGTCACGTCCAGTCACGTTCCTCCCGTAAATCACGAGGCGCGCATACATCGCGGCGACAGCCGACAGCGCGCTGCGCTCAGCGCTCGCGGCCGCCGCGCGCGACCGTTCGAGCGACACGTCGCGCCATCGCGCGTTGTCGCGCGAAACCAGAGAGAAGCCTGAGAGAGGCCATCCCGGATCCCGGTCCCAGGAAAAAGGCCGGGATGGCCTCTCTCAGGCTTCTCTCTGGCGAAACTAATAGCCGCCGGTGGGATCCCGGTAGATATTGCAGATTGGTTCGCCTCCGCGCGCGGCACTTTCCGGGTCGCACCAAGAGGGTAACAAGTATATACGGGATGTTCATGTTTCTAAATTCTAGCACGAGCAAAGAAATGCGATTATAGGAAGGAAGATATATTGACATTTATTTCTCATTGTCATTGCTCGCGTGGTTTTCGAGGGTGATTGAGGATCTTGAATGCGTAAATACACTACTGTACGTGCGTCTATGGCTGCGGTCCACTTGACGCTACAAATGCTTTGAAGCATTTCTTTTCTCCTTTCTTTCAATGAAGAAAGAAGGAGAAGAAGAACACTTCGAAGCATTTGTAGCGTCAAATGAACCGCAGCCTATATTTGACGGCATGAACAGTATTCAAAGGGAAAAGGAAAATAAGAGCGGACGCGAAATATAGAAAGCGCGACTAAAGCGAACGTCTGTCAACTTTTGTAAACTTTTTGCTCTGAAAACGGAGAATAGATAATTCACTTGAAAGTACTATAAAATAACATTTATATATGTAGATAGCATATCCGGTGCCGTTGGAAATGCAAAGAGAGGAAGGGAGTGTATTGAATGTCGAATACATATTCAGGATTTAAAAAAAAGAACGAGCGAAGTTTAGAAAGCGCGCACGTCTATATGTCTATTACATTTTTTTCTTCGAGAATCTTAAGAAAGCAATGTACGCTACATTGTCTCTTACGACTTGAAAACATATCTTTATGAGCTATTTCGACTCTCGCAAGTTTTAACGCGGAAAACCAGAAGCAAAGCGAAATTTCCTCGATGAAATTCACCGTGAAAAATGATTTTATACTTAATGATATGAGAATTTTTTTTTATCTGATTATATTGACAGACAATCAAAAGCAGTTGTGAGAAAATTAAAGCTTTCTCTCGGGGCTAACAGCGCATTCTTATCGCGGACGCGTAAATTCTGCCGATTACATCGATTCTGTCATTATTCGTCGAGAGAAGATTTCAGGTAGGAGGTACGAGTTCGTAATTCCTCGGCGAGCCGCAAATGGATCTCATCGGTTACAAATAACGCCGTACATGCAACATAATATAAACCCGTAGACAATGACGCGAATTTTTCGCGAAGTCGTCAAACGACGGCGTTCAAAAGTTCGAATGACGCTCGCGGAGAATTTCTCCGTGGCGTGATACGGCGTGGGCGCCGACACCTCGTTTTATCTGACGCGAAACGAGACGGCGGCTGGCGGCGGGGTGCGAGGCGAGGTAAAGGCGAGCGGAGAGCTGCGGCGACGACGGAACGAACGGCGGTCAAGGGAGGAGGGACGGGGAGGGGGAGGACGAGATGGGGATGCTTCTCGCTCCTTGTTACTCCAGATTGGACGTGGTCCGATCTTTCGCGCGCCGCAGACTGCTCGCGCTGCATTATTCCCCGGAGACCGGAGCTGTACGCTGCGTGCTATAATGCTATGTACATACCACCTCTGTGCGCGCGCGCGCGCGCGCGAAGTCATGCGACGGCGCCAACATTCCCGTCGTTTAACGACGTGCGTGCGCGGTCGTAAAACGTTCGGATCGGCGGCGACGGGCGGCGGCGGCGGCGCTTAACGTGTCTTTACGGACATGTGGGTTTGTCCGCGCTACGTAAGAACGTGGGCGCTGCGCTGACTTAAATTAGACGTACGTCCGTGCGTGGCCACCTGAAGAGAGAAAACGCGCTACTTGCCGGCTATTTAATTGAATAGCGTATGTGTGCGCGCGCGCGCGAACGCGCGTTACGGGCCGCACGCGGCTGGTAAATGCATTCAGGAATGTCGCATAATCAGCCATTAATTCACGCCGGATGGTCGTTAATGCAAATACGATAAGCCGCGGCTCTCCTCTCGCGCGGCCGAGAAAAAGCCGGCACCTTTCCCCGGTCTCGGTAAACACCACGCGCCGCGCCGCCGTTTGATATTTAAATTTCGCAGCGTTTTCCGATTAGAATTTATGATAATAGTATGGTAATCGTGGCGCCGCGATGGTCGCAATATCCGCGGCCGCGACACCGCGACTGGGGGATACAGTCTCACAGGCCAATCATATGAATACGACGGATTCGCTTGAATGAGAAATGTCGAAAAAAAAAACGCGAGATATACGGTCGGAGAGGATAAAGAGGAGAGACGCGGAGAGATAGCCTGTTTGCCTGTCGATCGCGACGCGATTGCGAATTGCGACGGAAGAAATATGACCGTTTGATCCTAGAGATCAGGGTGTTTCCCGGTACGCCGAGGATACACCAGGTCGCGGAGTTACGTTCATCGGTATGTACCCGAGAGACGCCGCTACGCTTCCTCTACGTAATTTACACGCGTGAGATACACACTCGGCTTAACTCCGTCGGAAAGAAAACGACAAAGAGAGAAAGAGAGAGAGAGAAAAGTTGTTGGAGCCATAATAACGACCGAATGTGTGGGACGCGAATAATACTTCCTCGTGCGCACACCTACACGGCAATCCGCATGCCACGCGTATATAAACTCCTACAACAAATAAGCACGTGCGCAGAAAAAACGTGAACGGGAAGGGAAACCGCGTCATTCGCGCGTTCGTCCAGATTCGCGAAGAAATCGAATAAGACGGAAAGGGGAGAATGATATGGTCTCTTTCGTTTTTCTTTTTTTTCCAAGATAAAGCGTCGCGCCGTGTCGACGGCTCGCCTCACAGCCTCACACGCCTCTACGCGCCGGGCGGCGACGGGAGAAAGACCCGAGAGGACGGAAAGGAGATGGGAAGATGAGATCGAGTCGGTTGGTCGTTCAACCAAGCCAGTTACTACACGCCGCGGTGTCGCGCGATCCGGTCAGTTTGGTAAGGAACGCCGGAGCCCCCCGAGAAGTCGGCTCGTGGGAGAAGATGAACGCGACAAGCGAAAGAGGCCGCGAGGCATGGCAAAAGGAGACGAGAGAAAGAGAAAGAGAGAGAGAGAGAGAGAGAGAGAGAGAGATAAATAGATAAAGCGTTTATTAATATTCTAGGGCAAAAGCCCTTTGAGAGAACAGAAGGATATTAAGCGTGGAATACGCAGTATTTTGAGAGATGAGTCGAGAGTATAAAAGCGGCAAGAGTGAAAAATAATGACGTGAGTTATAAACCGAGGAAGGTAAAGATAACATGCGTGAGAGAGGGAGGGAGAGAGAAAGATAGAGAAAAGGGTAGAGGAAAGCGGAGGGGACAGGGGGGAATAAGAGAGCGAGTACACCGACGAATACATAGGACGGATAATGCCTCCTCGGCGCGTGTAATGTACACGGCCGGCGGCGGCCGTCGGCGCCGGCGCCTGCACACGGTCTCGCCGACGAGAGACTGTGTATTTATAGTGTAATATTATTATAGTCTGTTTACGCGACATGACACATATTCCTCACCGATAGCCGCCTAGCCGTGAGAAATGTATAGCGCCCGTTCAAAGGACGACGTCAAATCTCCCCGATCTCTTTGAACGACTTGTTCGTTACCGAAAACATGTTAATTAATAAAAAAAAAGCGAAACCCTAGCATTGCACGAGGATTCGGCGAAAGAATTCGCTGAAAAAGTAAACATAAATCCGTTGAAAGATTAAAGTTTTTCTAAGGATTCTGGTTTAAATTTTTCGTCGCGAGATAGTTTAAAAATTTTAGACCTTTCAATCTTTGCATCTTTCCGTTGAGTGACGGAATCACGTCTCGCTTATTTTCAGCTTTTGTAAATTGTAGTTTAGATGATTGAAGGTGAATTGTTGCGAGATATTTGAGTTAATTTTCGTCACAAACGAAACTTTTGAATCCCGGATAATCTCACAAGTATTGTCCATGACGTAGTATAGCGAAGAGACGAATGGAGCTGTTCGATCAAAAGCGAAAGAATGCGCCGAGCTATTATTCGAGCCGCATTCCGAGACTTTTGGTTCCGAACATTTATGAATGACACGTGAGATGGGGGAATAAAGGAGACATTTTGAGACGATGAACAATCAGACTTCGGCACGTTGGTTTCCGTTCGCCGAGAAAATTCACAATTTGTCACACAAAAGAGAAAAGTATATTCAGATCCGTTTTAAAATGTTATTAGGTAGAATGTATTTCTATATCTATATAACTTATGTGACCGTCCCCGCAAGGATCCCGAGCAGATGTCCCGAGAAAGGCGCCACAAAGTCACCACGTTGTCGCGCAGGGGGTAAGATCCCCTCGACCGCATTTCTAAAGGGGAGTTCCAAATGAAATTACAAATCGTATTATGGATTTGCGTGTCTCGGCTCGGCGCGACGGTCAAGATTCGTCCTCGGTCATAGAGCCTTTCTACAGAAAAAAACTTTCTAGTATCGTGGAACGCGTGACTTTGTATCCGGCGCCAGGATTACGCCGGAGGACCCGAGGGTTGAGGGCATGCCGGGTGTGAAACGCCGGCGCAACAGCGCGATAACTTCATTCAGCTCGGGGTTGCTGACGACGATCCCTTCCTTTGGTTTTCTCGTAGGTCGTAGATAGACATATTGTCTCGGAGATGAATGGTACCGCGGCGCGGCAGCTTGGCGCCGGAAAGAAGGACGCTCGTTCGTTCCGCAGGAACGCCACGCCGCGCCGGCGAACGTCGGGCGTCCGGGGGACCGGTCATGATTTCCAAGTACAAGGCTGTTTCCGCTGATCGCTTCAAACAAGATACTGGCACGCACTGGGCTTCACCTAAATATAGGCACACAATACGTCTCTCCTTCGATTATTTATAACGCGAACGGTATGCGCGCGGATCTCGATCGGTGGCGGAAATCTTTTTAGGAAGGCG